ATGTCTGTGTATTAGCTTTAACCTAATTTTGGATTAATACTCTTAGCAGCTAGTTGTTTAAAAACAGACCAAATAAAAATCACATTAACCAGGGCATTTCCCAAAAAAAGCATTGTATGGCTAAAATGATCGTAGAAACAGAACCAAATGGTCTCAACAATCGACTTAGCTCATGATGCTTTTGAGAAACGCAGCCCTAAACATTGCAGTTAACAGCAGCGACATTCAAAATGTACGTTAGGACTGCGTTTACTAAAAAAATGCTGGCTAACATTAACATTAGTGCCCTTCTTTGACGTTAACATTATACTATAAGCAGTGACGCTAAAATAGCATTCAAAATGCTCATTCAAAAGCACTAACGTTAGGGAAATTCCGCGCTTTACAGCTCTGTATAAAAACAGCGTTTCCCAAAAATGAAAACATTCCTGAATCATGATATTCTTACAACACTCAAAAAGCAAATAAGAAATTGTCACAGTTGTTTTGATTTACTTAAAAGTTGTTTCATTAAGTTTGCTCCGGTCGCTTGCGATTATCCGCCATGTTGAATGGATTCTTCTGAACGTCGGTTAGAGCAACGAGGTGACGTCACTTTACGTAACTCGGTAAACTTAAAAATAATCATTTAAATAGAAGAGTTTACTCAAAACTGTTGAGCCACGCAAAAATAAAACAAAATTCCTCGTTCAGAAAATGTAATTGTTATAAGTTGCATTAACGATTTAACAGACTTTAATTGCAGTGTTCTTAATCTTTATAAGTTAGTAGTACTGTTCGGGTTTACAGTGCAGGGGAGCCTGTGCTAGACGAGAAACTGCCATTGAGATGAATGGGGACGCTAATGCATGGCTTTCACCCAGTATTATAGACCTCCTCTGCCTCAAACAAACAGATTGCAGTTCCCTTTGGTGTCTCCAGGGGTGCAGAAATTACACCCTTCACCTTTAAGTAGGGCTGGACAATAATTCAATATCAATATGTATCGCGATCTTTGAAATCACAGGAATAAATTATATTTTCAAATAGAAAACAGTTATTTTAAATAGTAAAAATATTTCAAAATGTTACTGTTTTTGCTGTATTTTGGATCAAATAAATGCAGGCTTGGTGAGCAGAAGAGAATTCTTTACAAAACAGTAAAAATCTTACTGTTCAAAAACTTTTGATTGGTATGTTAGCCTATAGTTTGAAGTAAAAAATATTAATATTAATAAGGAGAGTCTGAGATTTATTTGACAGTGATTTCACATTTCTTGTTTGTATGAAGGCTAAATACCAATAAAAGGTGAACATTTATTTATTTGCGCCATTTTTTTCCTAAAATATTATATAGTTTTATAGGAGTAGGTTTCATAGAGTTGGCAAATTAATTTTTCATAAGTTTGTAGGTACAGACATCTGTTGTGGCCATTCTTGGACGTTTTTATGAGGCTTTTTTAATAGTGTTCATATCGGTATCGGAATTATATCATATCGACCGAAATTAAGAAATATATTGTGATATAAATTTTGGCCATATCGTCCAGCCCTACCTTTAAGGTGCAGCTTGAAAGGCCCTTAATCCCATTGAATGACTCATTTGTTATGTTGTAATGCGTAGCAATGGTTGTGACATCATCCAATAGTTACTGGATATAGACTACTGCGTTTGAATGTATCACTGTTGGTTCCTCTGCATCATGCATTATTTTTAATGTTTGTAATATAATAATGCATTTGGCTGAACTTTAAACATTTTTCTAGCTATTCTGTAGGCTTTTGTTATGGTAATAACATTCAGTTGCTGAAGTCCAGAGACGGTCGTCTCCAAGATTCAACTTTATTGTACCCCACTTCAAGGAATTTGGAGTAGATTTCCGGGTAAAACCACCAAAAAACAAAGTCTGCGCATACTTTGAGTTCCTTACCACACTGTATTCAAATAAGAGCAGCCCAAAGCACTTTCATAAGGTTACTGTTTCCCTCTACTTGCGGCAAGCGGAATAATTATAGGACTATTTTCACAGCTTTATTCATCCAGAGTCAACCATTTTAGTGAATGTCATGATGAAATGAGATAAAAGTGTTGTGCTAATTTTGTCATGCCAAATGACTGCCAAAAGCAGAGTTTCAGAAGGTAATATGTGATGGCAACCTATCATAATCGGCTTGATTTAAGCAGTTAGCAGCTCAAAATATTACCTGATTGTAGCATAATAGTTTGTACGTGATCATATTACATTTCTGCAGTTTCTTTGCTTTGCCAGAACCGCTGTCATGTGTTAGCTAATAGTTCTTGTGTAAAGATGATGCAGCAGCAAGCGAACACGCTGGTACTGTGTTGTGGTGAGATGTAATACTGTATAGCTAGCATGTGTGAGCACAATGAAAAGCACCAGCATATTGAAATGAGAGCAAAACCTTGACATTACATTGAACTGTGTTTTATGTTATGTCACATTTTAGTTTTTTAGTATTGATAATAATAAGAAATGTTTCTGAATGATTACGTGATACTGAACACTGGAGAAATGGCTGCTGAAAATTCAGCTTTGCCATCAGAGGAAATAGATTTCCGTAAACAACACTAAAAAATCCTACGTTTTCTTTAAAAAATAAAAATAAAAAAAATCAACTGCTGGATGCTACAGCTTGTAAGAATTCAAGTTAATTCTTAGAGAGCTGTAGGATTTTACGTTTGGGAACTACAACTGAATGTTCTTTTCCAGTTTGACTGGAAAATACTATGCCTCAAAGATGTCTCTAAATCACAACATTTAACCAATGTTGATGATGAAATGCTTGCCTGTGGAGGACCCAGGCCTTTTAGTTGGAGCCTGTGAGTTCGTTCAAAAAGAACATTCTGGAATCCCTGCAAGCACTGGCCTAAATTTGAAGAATAATAAAAGAAAAGACAAAAGAATGAGTACGGGGGGTTGGATGGCCAAAGTACAAGAGCAAATACAAAGACAGTAAGCATGGCTTAAAGTCCAAAAAAAACTGCGTTATGTGAATACTTTTAGCACATTTCTGTATGTGATATCTAAAAATATCTTTCAGCAGTCTATCTTGCTGTGTTTCCTGTCTGGTTGAGTGCTTTTAGTTTGGACAAGACTGCTTGTATGTCTCCCACTGCTTATCAAACACAGTATTACATTTGATCCTGCCACAGGCGTGCTGATGTAATCAGATCAGACAAACCTGATTCTAATTTAAACTGCGGAGGTTTCACAGCCTTCAGGCGTGTGTTTTACTCACAGACGACCATTCATTGCAAATGTGTAGGCCTACGCCATCGTAGTATTGCTGCGACCACTCTCATTACTGACAGCTCTAAAGTACACATCTGCATCTTTTCTCTCATAGCCATCAACACAATAAAAAAATGATGGCATAACTGATGAATCCATGGAAAGGAGCATTGGGCATTTTGCAATGAAATATTAAATTTCAAGCACACATATTTACTGCCAATATGCTTTTTTGAGAGTTGTGGTCAGTTTATTGGCAATCCGTTGCAATGTTGCCCATGCCAGTTTTCTCGAGAGGGGACAAATCTACGTTCTTTCAGCTCTGTCAAAAAGCTCTGTGTGTTTTGACTGAATTCTCAAAGCTTTTAATTTTCATGCCTGTATCAGTGAATCTGTTCCCATGTAGCAAATGTAGTAGTACATGCCCTTGACATTTGATTTGCTACTTGTATGAAAGAGACTTGGGGCATTCAGAGTGGTTCCAGTGTGTGGTAATTCATTTCCCGCCAACAGTTTCCCAGCACAAAGCCATATGGCTGTTGACATAATCAATTGCTCCCATAGTAGGCAATTCAGCTGAATATGGAGAGTCTGATGTTGCCACTTTGATTGCCTCCTCACCTTTGATTGCTTTTCCTGTGCTTTCATTGTTCTCGTCATTCGTCTTTCCTATCGCCTGAATCACAGCCAGACCCAAGTGTTTCTGCCTTTACACAATTGTTGGGGAAACTGCTTCAAAACTATAGCTGGCCAAGCGAGCTACACATATTTAAAATATTCAACTACAGTCAAGCCACCCTTTAAAAAAAAAGTTAACTACATTATAAGTTTATAACAAAATTTAATGTAGCTACATTATGGTTTTCTGCTCAAATACGCA